ATTTTGGGAAAATATGGCCACTATTCTCAAATGTTTGTGCAAATTTCTTTCCTGTAACATTCTAAAGTAACCCCTTCTCCATAAACTTTTCCATAATTCCAGAATGTTCTAGCCAGCCTCGCCCAAATATTAAGGTAATTGACCGCTACAAAATATTATTCTCATAGTTTTAAAAGCCTTTTTTTATTTTTTTCAGACACATCATGGATTTTATTTTTTCCTAGATTATTAGTTTTTAAAGTTTTTTTTTTTTTTTTCAAGAGTTACCTCGTGGATTTTAATTTTCCCAGATAATTCTTATAGTTTTTATTGTTTTTTGAAACACACACACAAAAAAAAATAATAATAATAATAATAATAATAAAAATGGATACTACCTAAATGAGAGCATGCATTGGCTTCACTGAAATGCTACAAAAGTAGCTAAAACCTCATAGCTGATTGATTAGCTTTGTATAGTAAAAAAGGTCTTATTGCATATATATAGCAAACAAAATTTTTAGTCAATTTTAATGAAAAAGAAAAAAAAAATTTAGTCAATTTTTATGACAAAGCAATTAAAAAAATTGAGTTCTTTTATATAAGTAGCAAATCAAACATGCTCAAAGTGAATCCTCAATAAGCATATGGAAACTCATTCATAAAAATATGTACCACGTCTCGTTTTCCATTCGAATGAGTAAATTGCATAGTAATACTTGCTTTAATGGGATTTACCGTCAAAATTCTTGTGTTTTTTCCTTAGATGTATCACGTAAGTTTATATTCATTGTTATAAAAGTCAGATCGGCCTCGTTCGAACTTAAAATTGTAGACAAAAACTCTTAAGCAGTTCAGTCTCACATATCACACCGGTAGCATCTTACTCGATATTTAAAATGTGGATAAACTAGCGAATTTATGTAAATTCTGATTGATCAATTTTTTAAAATTTGTTTGATAAGTTAGGATTAAGACTCAATCCCATGACCACTTATGCGAACTTACATAACACGACTATTGAATTGAACAAAATATTGCTAACGTTTAGGTATTTATAAATATAAATATATAAAGAGAGACGTGATTTACCGAACACAATGATATGACAAATTAATTAATTGGTGAATAATTATCTCGTGGACTAGACAGCCCAATTAATAAATTATTTCAAAATTGAAAGAGTTTAACTTAAAGAAACAACAATGGACCCCAAATCGAGTTGTTAACAATCTTCATGTCGTCCAATTTCTTCAAAAGGCATTCCCTTTTGACTTAATTTAAGGTACCAAAGTCAAAGTAAATCTTGCTTCAATTCTATGTAATTATTCCACACCATGTGTTATTGTTGGTAAACTTTTGTTAAACTCAAGCTGTGGGGCCCATGCATTGGCCAAAGGTTTCTCCATTTTCATTTTTCACATTTAAATAATTCTTGAACAAAAATACATGCCAGGATGTAACTGGGAATTAAATTGAAGTATTGTCTTTAATAATTCTAAAATCGACTATGTCAACTTAATTTTGTCATTCTATTCAATAATTTTGAAGGTGTAAATGTCAATCTTTTGCTGTCTTTCCATACCTTCATTATATTTCTGCTAAATATTAAAAGTCGTCGAGGTACAACTACTCGATGATTTTGAAACTATCAATCTCTTGTTTGATAGACATTAATTCATCAGCTTTGTTGTCAACGATCTCTCCCAGTATATGCACCATCCATGTATCACACATTGGAGTGCTGCTAAAAGAACGTTGCAATATTTAACAGTAGCTCTCCTTGGTATCTTCATGAGTTCTCTCATTCTCTGATGCTGGTAGGACAGACGATATCGAGTATCAAACATCCATGTTGGCCAATATTGTATTCCTTGGTTCTAATCCAACTAATTGGAGCTCTAAGAAACAAGAAATTGTTGCTTGATCATCAACATAAGCATAATACAGTCCAGTTGCAGCAACTATTGTTGAAATAAACTGGATAAAAAATCTTCTTGGTGAGTTGCATATCTTTACCTCCCCACGTACAATTTAATGTGACAATGTTGGAGCAACTTACATGCAAATATCACTTTTCATTCTCGAATGTCACACGTTTTGATTGATTACAACTTTGTTCATGATCAAGTATCGAAGGCCATGCCCGGGGCCCCGTTACTCATGTCCACTCTAGAGATCAACTTGCAGACACCATGACTAAACCTATACCTTGGAAAGCATTTCTCAGTCATCAGCTCAAGATTGGAGTTCCCTCAAGAATGTTCTTGCGGAGCATAATAGATAATAAGGACATCTCTAAAGGAGACACCAAAACACCAAAATGCACCAAATTTTGGTGCAAAGTGTCTCTAATGTAGTACTAAACTTTGCATCATTTTGCGCCCAAAGAAGACACCAAAAATATCGAAATGCACAAAATTTTGGTGCAAAATTTCTTCAATGTAGCACCAAACTTTGCCCAATTTTGGTGCAAAATAGTCCGAATACAATTTTACCTTTATTTTCATTTGCCAAACAAATTTAAGGGTCTTTGTGTCATTTACATTGCAAATTTTTTTAATACAATAAATTATTATTATTATTATTATTATTATTATTATTATTATTATTATTATTATTATTATTATGTGCATTTAAAATAAAATTTAATAATGTAAAAAATGATAGTTAATGAATTAATTAAAATTAGAATATAAAAAATCGTTGCTTTAACGTAAGTATTTACTTAGTAATTTATGTATTTGTAAAATAAATAAATAAATAAATTGTTAAGAATAAAAAAAGTGAAAAAAGTTTAAACACTATTCATTTGGTGTAATGATTGAAGATAATTTTTAATTTGATGTAAAATTTGGTAGAAAATAGTGTAAAATTTATCTTAAATTTTGATGCAGAAAAAAACCTCAAATCAGATAATTCAAGAGGATATATTTCTTTTTCAAATCAAATAAAATTGAGTGAAGATAATAAAATAAAATAGTATGGGCGTGAATATTTTACAGGTCATAATCATAAGAAGAAACAACTGGCTTCAGACAGAGTTGCCAAATGGCACAAATCCAAATAACTAATTTAAAAAAAATAAATAAATAAAGGAGACGGCAGGCTGGCAGCTGGCCATAACGCGCAAGCACCGAATCTTTATGATCTGTGATTTGGTCCCCACTCATCCGTTACCCTATACCCGTTAGTTCTTCAAATGACGGCAAAACGGTCATGTTTATTTCGTTCTAAATTTTTTTGTAAAAGCCGTCCAAAGTCGAGATATTAGAGTTCGGAAGAGAACTTGTTAATCCTATTTTCTTTACCCTTTTTTTGTAAAATAAGATTTGGTCGAATCGATATTCATATATTTATTATAGAAATAAAAGGACAAAATTTTTTGAATTTTAGCAGAATTACAAGCTAGAACAAAGAATTAACGGCAATACTTGTCCCGTTTACGACAAATAGATCAAATCAGAGAGAAACCGTGTTTCTCTTATATTAGGAGAACATTAATTTCCTAAACTACCCTCATATACCCTTTTTTTTTTTTTTAAAAGGTTAAACCCTAACTTTAAGGGTCCCCCACCACCTCTGCCCTGGAGTATCGTGAGGGAGGTAAATCGTAGGTTATGCCTCCAAGGGTACAAGGTGGAAGGCTGCTGTACACTTGCATTTACCCAAGAGCTAAATCCATATTTCAGGATTCGAACTCTTGACGCAACAACCTCAAGCAAAACTGGATTTCGTCAAGATATGTCTCCGGCTTTGTCTTCTATTCAGACAACTTACTAGTCATATTACTATTATGCCCCTGTGGTACAATTTTTCATTTCGCTAAAATAATGCTAATACACTCTATATTATAACTAATTTAAATAATTGGGAAACGTTAAAATATCAAGAAAATAATAAAAATAAATAAATTTGAAATATACATTTCTTTATTAAATTTACACTTAATAATCTCAAAGTGTCGTTTTGGTTGGAAAGTAAATAAGAATCTTCCCTTTATTTCAATATTTGTTAATACTTAGATTACAGATAAAAAAGAGAAAAATTAACCTCTTCCAAGTTACTTTTGTATATGTACCGATATAGATGAAGACAAAATGCTTATGATTGAACAAATAAAAAATTCAGACATTTAAAAAGTCAAATTAGAAAATTATCTCTTTAATTGACCGTTCATTGATCACTCCCACAAGTTCGATTTTAGGGTGTGTTTGGGATTGATTTTCTAGGCCAAGAAACTATTTTTTGCCGTTATCAACCGCATTTTTTGACTAGCAAATTCACAACTGGGATCCATATTCAAATGTAACGGCTAATTTTTTGTTGTTGATCCATTCAAGAATCAATGACAGACAAGACATTAGTAAATAAATGAGAGAAGTCATCTTCATCTTGTTAATCATGTGCATTAGCTATAATTAAAATGTTAATTGAATTTTTTTTTTAAATATTTTCTACTTTATTATCGACTTACAAGTTACATGCTGAAACTCAATTTGTAACATCGAGACGTTTCTTTCAACGTCATGAGTTCTTTTTTCCTTTCCTCCCCAGTGTATTCATTTTCTTAGGTAATATTTCAATGGCTAGTGGTATTATCGTAGTTTCTAAAATATATGAGGCCTAATTATTATCCCTCCTACACTTATATATTTCGGCGTATTCCCCCATCCCACTTGCATTTGTTCTTTGTTAACTCCTCAAATACCAATAAGTAAAGGAAAGAGAGAAAGATAGCCACCATTTTCGACAGCCGCTGGAAACCACTGCCTGAATCAGGAACCGAGAAGGGAAGGAAAAGATTGCATTCAAAATCAACTTTATGAGTATGGCAAGAATAGTTTCTTCTCTACTTTTCACGCTCTGCATAGTCGTATCTCTACTACTTTCCCACGCATCGGCTAACTCAGAGCTGGAGGAGGCCGGCTGGCTTATGCCGATGATGAGATCCGGTTGCAAAGGAACGATTGCCGAGTGTCTATCCGACATAGATGAAGAATTCGATCTGGATTCCGAGTCCAACCGGCGCGTCCTAGCCATTCGCCGCCGCTACATCAGCTACGGTGCGCTCCGGAGGAACAATGTCCCCTGCTCCCGCCGCGGAGCCTCCTACTACAACTGCCGTCCTGGCGCTCGGGCCAACCCCTACACCCGTGGCTGCTCCGCCATCACTCGGTGCAGGAGTTAAAATTCCTTCAAACTACTGCTATGTTTATTAAATTGCAAAAAGAAATTATCATTTTTTAACTCTCTCTTTTTCGAGATTGGGTGTTTGGTATACAAGAAAATGGAGATTTAGGGGGTTTGTTAATGGTGAATTATCGTTGTTATTATTATTTCCATGTTGTCTTATGCACAATTCAATTTTTGTAATTTTTTTTTTTTTGTGAATAATAATTCATTTTCATAATTTATTGAATTATACATTATTTTTTATTTGTGCACATTTTGAATAAAATAATGGACAATTCTACTAGTACATTATTTTTCACATCAATTTTCACAGCACACACA